GAGATCTCCATAACCCGTCATTAGCAAAAAGGGGGTCGCCACTGGTTTCTAGTTCATTTTGAGAATGAACCACTAACCCTAGGTAGTACTGACTGTACATGACCCACCAAGCAGCCATATCTTTTTCTGGGCGATGTCAGTGGAATTCCTGTGCAAACAGTGCATCTGAGATACATCTTCGATTTCATCCTGGAAAGCAAGTGTTGCTGCGAGAGGTGTTTTGCGTTTGCAAGTTTTGCACTCTAAGAACAGTGTGGAGGCCAGGATCGCTACTCGCCAGCCATCTTATCTGAGGCTACATAACGCAGGCAGCCGGCCAACCCGACAAGGTGAACATTGCATCAGGGGGGTGTGAAGACCTGCACAGTCCTCGATCCCAACTCCTAACTTTGACCTTGTTGTATTTCTTTTAAGATGGAACAGTTGGGGAGGTGGTGGGAAAAGAAAGAACACACCTTCCACACACTAGTTAATTGAACAACCCCGCATGCAAGATGCAACCAAAACAAGGCAAGGGGCCTGAGCTAGAGAGTGTGGTGGTGCATTCACTAGATCACGCACACCCAGCACTTGTCACCCCCGCACCCTCATCTGGAAGAAAAAGTAGTGGGCTCCACCGAACTCAGGCCTGGTCTTTCTCTGACATGTTTCGAACATATCACTCATGACTGTACATGAACCACAAAAACAGCCATATCTTTTTTGAGCGATATCGGAAAAACATCCTGCGCAAACAGTGCATCTGAGATGCATCGTCGACGTGATCCTGGAAAGCAAGTGTTGCTGCGAGAGGTGTTTTGCGTTTGCAAGCTTGGCATATGTCCACCACACTGTTCAAATTGATTTTTGCTTGCAGCACACTCAGCAACGGGTGTAAGCGCGAAGTTCATGTTCAGTGGGCACTCAGCAAAGAAAGCTCATTTTGGGAAAGTGCACAAAGCTTCCTTCATGGAATGGACAAAACCACAAGTATCTACAAGTACAACACGAGAAGCACGATAGAGCCCGTTCAAAGCGATGGCACGCCCCTGCCAGGCCTCGTTATTTGGTAAATATGGTACCCTGATGGGCTTCTGCTCGACCACCTTGGATCTGTCCTGAAGACACACAAAGGGAGGGAAAAAGAGGCATCGTGTTCTTCTGCGCAGAGGGCAGCCTGGAAGTGGGGAGTTCGCTACTAGGTTGCAGGCCATTGCTACTAAGGGGAGGCCATCGCTATTAGGTCGGAGGCAAAGGCCTGGAAAAAGGAGTGAACACAAGGCCATCATAGGCCATCAACGTAGTTTCATGTAGTTTCTAGGACTTTCAGGTGGCATTTTGGAAGTTGGAAGGCATGTTGTAGGCCCGGAGTGCTCCAAAAGTTAAGTTTTGGTTGGGCAAGATTCTGAAATAGAAACTGATGGTAGCCTTGGTTGACGAAATGCGGAAGGGCTCCTGGCAAAAACCTCTCCACAAGATGCATCTGTTCGTGTTTTTGGGACCGCTGTTCGTGTTGATCATGTCCATGGATACTTGGCTTTGGCAAGGTCAAGGCAACAATCCATTCGATGTGCACACCAAATACTGAGTGGACGTGATCTTGGACGCTCCAGGACCTGGTTGATTCGTAGCGTCCTCTTGTTCCTAGTAGCCTCAAAGACCTACTAGTAGCGTCCTTGCTCCTCGTAGCGATGGCCTCCACCTAATAGCGTCCTTGCTCCCAGTAGCGATGACTTCAAATACATACCAAAAGTTTCTTCGGCCATTTTTACCCCAAAGCCCGACTGTGAGTGAGTGCCGCCTGATCATGACGCACTCAGTGGACAGCTTTCGCAGAACAACTCTGCCAGACTGGGTGATGCATCGTTTGAGCTTTCCGGACTGCGGGGTTGAGGACAAGAAACAAGTAGAGTTTCCACAGATTCATAGGCCATTGCTACTAGATTGGAGGCCATTGCTAAAGTGGCTGAGGTTGAAGCTGCTACTTTGTCACTTTGAAGCAGGTTGCTCAATCACAAGTTAACAAGAAACATCAAGGAACCATTTGCTCGGATGGCCAAAGTGCGTCGGCACTTGCTCACGGTCACGTTGGTTGTGCTCTTTGTTGGCTGGTGCATTGTTCCATTTGTTTGTTCTTTGCAATCTGCTTTGTTTCAATTCTAATTAAACTTAATTCTAACTAAATTAAAACTATTATTGTTTCTACTAGCTTCTTGTTCCTGTTCCTAGTAGTAAGGCCAGGCTCCTAGTGCCTCTGCTGTGGATCCCTTTGGGTGGCAAGCCTTAGTGACATGAAGCTGCTTTGTCCACTGCTTTTCTGAAGCTACTCTGCGGCACTGGAACAGCACAAGGAAGGCAGCCTGTGAATCTGTGGAAGGAAGGCCATTGCTATTAGAGAGAGGCCCTCGCAATCTGTGGAATCTATTCTCGGAGGTCATCACTACTAGGTTGGAGGCCATCACAATTAGGTTGGAGGCCATCGCTCGTAGGTTGGAGGCCATCGCTATTAG